ATCTATAAAAGTATAATATAATATTTATAATTTTGATATAAATTATAAATTAACAAAATAAAAGTTTAAACTTTGAGTTCTTTGTGGTCTCTACAAATTTTAATTAAATATTTAATCAATGCCATGTTTTAATCATTAAGACCTGAAACCTAATTTAATTGCATTTATACTTAACAACCATTTCTGGTACATTTTTCTACTTTCTGTTAGTGCAATTGAAAAAAAGTTTTTTCATTCTACAAAACACTTCTGCGTATAATCGCCGTTAATTTTTGTTTGAAACTGATTGTACATTGTAACAAATTTCACTAAAGAATTGCAGGTACTACCTCATTGTGTACAAATTTACATTATAAAAATAAATAATTAATTGGAAATAAATATATAGTTTAATTTAATTAATTTATGAGGTTTGTATGTAGAATATTACTCTATGGATTTGTATCAGAATCCAATAATTATTAATTATCACCCATTTTAATATATTGATTAAATATATAGTACATACTAGAGAGCCTCACAGAGTAATAATATATATTATGGTAATATGGAGTCTATAGAAAACAATAAAAATATTTACAATATCAAATATTTATTAAGTATAGATTTTTGTAATAAAATAACAATATTAACATGGTTGTCATTGATGTTGAAATGTAATTTGTTTGGTCAAGTATGAACGTATTCTTGTTTTTGGTTGACTGCATTGTTCTTTATTATGATGATGCAACCGAATTACAATACATTTTTTAATAATAAGTTTAGTTATTTGTAAAAGGTGATTTTTTATTGGTGATTGAGATGCTATATGTACATTTAATGAGATAGATGGATTATTTTTATTTAATTGAGCCATGGTTTTAATTGTTCAATAATTAATTGGATTTCCGGAATGTCTTGATAAATCTTGAATTCTTGATGTAAATACTTAATGGTTTTTTTAGTCCACCTCTATTTTTTTATATCAATAAGTGTATGATGCATGTATCTATCTTCAAGAGCAGAACAGCAAACTGAACAATTAATAATTTTTATTAACTGTCTTACCACAAATACAGCTATATGTTGAATAACATCTTCTTTATAGATATTAAAATCTCCTGGTGCAATGATTTGTTCATCACTGTCATCTAAAAAGCTTTCTTCTAGTTTTTTCTTACTGCTAGTGACATGCAGAATGGTAGTAGAGTCTTGAGGTGAACAGTTGGCATTTTCTGAAATTGATAGCTCACTATGAACTATAAGTTTCTTGTATATAGCTTCAAACTGTCCAGCTGTGTGGTTGTTGTTGAAGCCCCCTCTTGACCGTATAGCTGAAAACAGCATTTCTATGTAGTCCTGTGAAATCTTATAGGAAAGTAAAACCTAAGCTGTCTTCATGACGTTATCAAACAGTCTACTCATACTTTTTAAACAGGTGATGAGACCAAATCAAGTTTTTCTAGGCGATTCTAATATTGGAAGATGATATCTATCTTGTAATGTTTTTAAGTAACCTATAGATGAATTAATACAATTGGTCATGTCTTCATAATGCTCTTTATAAAGTGGCTTTTTGTGTGGGAGTTTGCTCATAAAATGTCGAGTGTTTAAAAAATCAAATACGTTGTTTATGTTTCGACAAAAGGTAATAGTAGCGTCACAGTTGTTAAAATCTTCAATATTTTTTGTCTTACAATACAAAAGAGCATCAGCTACACTGCAACTGAAAACTTGCGGAGCTGGTCGAACTTCTTTGTCGAATTTTAGTAGCCAAATGAATTTTATTATTTTATTGTAACGTAACTAAATTTTTTAAATATTTCCATTCTATTGGATTGTCCTCTGCATCGTACAATATACCCCAATCCCCAATTGTGTTTCTCACCAGTTTCAGCATGTGAGCTGGATCTAAAAAAATAATGATTTCTTCTCTAGTACTTGGATGCGAGAACCGTGAAATTAGATTTGTTAGGTCTGCTCCTAAATGCATTGTCGTGGAAATGTTTGAAGCAGCTCCGTCAAAAGTTAATGTTTTAACAATTGCCCCAGTTTCATGGATATTAATTAAACATGTCTTGAGAAGGTTGGCTTTTTTTTCTGCTGTTAGTCCGTGTATTAAGAAATAGCCAACAGGAATCTTCCAGTGGGAATTTAAGGCAACAACTATAAATACCAAAGCTTCAGTTGCTTTAGGCATTGCATCAGAATCCTGAATTTTATGATCATAGTTCATATACCCCTGAAGACGTTCCCCATTAAAATGAATTGCTTCTCTTATAAACATTTCGTCCTTAATGATTCCAGGTACTAAATCTAAATTGTTATTTGGTACATTTAACACTATTTGTTTAAAACTAATCAATAATCACAATTTTATCACGTTATCAATGAAATATAACGATCGGCAAGATTTTATTGTATCACAATTTATTATTTGGCAGTGGGCACACTATAAAACACTACTTAGTTTCTTTTCTCACTCGACTATATCGTATCCTAACTTCTCTCCCCAAGCGCTGTCCATAGTTAATAGGTCTTTGAACCCAACTTTCTTAAATTAACGAATTTGAACGGATCCGAACCTACACACTTTCAATCGAACCCGAACCATACCGAACTCTTCAAGTATTTTATCGAACTCGAACCGAGGATAAAAAAGTCAAAATTATATATTATTTTATTTAAATATTAATATTTATTGATACATTTTTATTTATCATTTATCCACTATACCACAGTATTATTGACTAAAGTTATATAAAGTTACACAATAAATATTAAATTATAATCATAATTTAGGATTAAGAATTAAAACTTCTTGCTACTAATGTGCTGTAATCATTTTTTTTTTTTATTTATATCAAAATTAAAATCATAATTAATAAAATATAATAACTATTATTTATAATATCAACAATTGAGTTACAATTGAGTGACATTTTTTTAATAAACTAACCATATTGTTTTCTTTAAAGCTTCATCAATGGCCAATTGTAAAATAGTGATGTAACATATCATTATAATTATAATTATTGAATGCACAACTTATATTTCTTTCATTGTCTGTGATCATATCAATATAAATGTTTTAATTCAAAATATATATGTTCCATTCATTAACCATAGATTTAATTTTGAGAAAAATATTTTTTCCAGTATGTTCTCCAGGAAAGTATAAGAATCCTAGTGTTTTGTTACGGAGCTCAAATTCTTTCATTAAATAACGTGTTGTATGTGATATATATGATGGTTGAGCTTCAATTGTCCAGATATCAAACGTAAATGATATGGATTGCATACTATTCAATTCGGCGATTATTTCATATTTGAGTTCAGATAATAGTTTTGAACACAGCTGATGAATTGCAGTAGAAGATAAATAATATTGTTTGGTTTGTAGTTAATACTTGCACTCTAGTGTAATCATTATGTTCTTAAATCAACGGTAGACTATGGTTGGTAATCTAATACAATCATTTCACTTATATTTTGGGTAATTAATTTAGCTCTTGCACTATGTTTTGATAAATATTATTTTGAGTTGAATGAATCCTGAATTTTGTTTCGTTTCTGTGTAATGTCTTCGTTTTTTTTCTTCAACGCTTGTTCTTTATTTTATTTTTATTTTTCTCATTATATGTTTGCAGATATTCAGAATATTTTTTGGAGTGAATTTTAAGTTTTTCATTATTATTGTTGATTAAAGACTTTTTAATACTTTTTACAAGTATTACACATAGATTAGTCATAACCTATTTTGTTAAAATAATCATAAATTTAACTTTGATTTGATGCATTGTCTACCTCTACTGGTCCTGTTGCCATTGGGCTTTCTTAAAATTCTTCGTTTATAAGCTCAGTTGTCTCTGCGTCTGGGTCATCAATACTGTTTTGAATATCTTCAGATTGAATAGACCTCATTAGCCGCTCAAATGCATTCATCCTCTTGGTCATAATAGTATTTATATACTATATACTATAAAGATATATCAATCCTATAAGATACTATAGATGTAGAGTTAATAATTTATACTTTAATAGTTATGCTTGAGATTTTTAATTTTTTCAATAATATTTTATATATTTATTTTTAATTAACATTAATACGATAATACCTTATAACAGATAAGCAAAAGCCAAAAACATAAAAATTTAAAACAAGCAAACATTAAATAATTAATTACGATCTATTTTTGTATCGAGGGTTTTCATTACGATGTCTCCCTTCCCCAGTTCAGTCTCGGATAACTCGATGAATGGGCATTGGTTATGGGTGGTCGGTAGAGCGTGTCGCGGCTGGTTGCAACAAGCAACAAACAATAGAATAATAATATTAGAAGTTACTTTACCGAGTTTTATCATTTTTTTCTCTGGTTCGATTATCGAACCAAACTATTAGATATTTGGTTCTGTTGGATTTTTGGGAGAATTTCCACTTCAACACCCAGAGTTTGGTTCGGTTCAAAAATCGAACAGTTCATAACATCTCCATATTTTATGATAGTTCTATATAAATAATAGCAAACAAATATAATTTGTACTATGATAAATTAGGGTCTAGGACATCTCGCCGCCACCGTTTCGTCACCGACATTTCTCGAGTTAAATATACCACCACAACTTGTACCAGAATATACCAGAGATCCAGCAGTGACACCACCAATAAGAAATAATTTACAGTGTTGCCTTGTTAGCGGCACTCGTCGCTATGCTCCTCGGCGCCGTCGCTCCGCTCCGCAAATCGAAAATATCCCTCGACTTGCTATGCAACGCCACCTAAAGTTGGTCACAGTATAACTGCTGTTTTACCATAGAACAACCACTCTTGTCATTCAAAAGCTTATCACTACCGAAACGGTGGCGGCGACAATGCTCGGCGGCGAGAAGAGTAGGTTCGGATAAATTATGCTCCACTATAAAATTATTAAACACCTATATTATTAGGTTTTGAATTCATATATTCCATGTGCGTCTTTCGAATCATCTAACGTAGTTTTCAATCAATTGTTTTCTTCTAGGCCAAGAATGGTACAGTAGCAGTGAATTCCAGAAAAAAATCAATGAGCTTCACTTGTAATGTGTGTTCGATGTCATTCAAGCACAAACATCATATTTTGAGGCACACACAAATGCATTTAGGCGTTAAATCTTTTCATTGCAATATATGTAATAAATGGTTTAGGGACCAGTCTAATTTGTCTAATCACAAATACACCCACACTGGGGAAAAGAAGTTCAAGTGTTCCGAGTGTGGAAAAACATTTATGAAAAACGACAATTTAAAAGCTCATTCAAGGACTCATTCTCTCGAAAGGCCTTATAGCTGTAATCATTGCGAAAAAGTGTTCACAACAAATGGAAATCTTACCAGACATGTGCGAAATGTGCACAAATGCGTTTAAATTAATAATTATTATTATGATGTTAAGTGTTCAGTTCTAAAAATTGTTTAATAAATATATAAATCGTGTTATTCACTAAGGATTATATTTCACAAACAAAGAAGTATCATTTATTCAGCACAACATTAACAAAATTTAATAGCATAATAAAGAATATATTATTAAAAAACCTAGATAGAAATTAATTAGTCTTTCCTTCATTAATTATTAGAAACGTTTTCAAACTTATGAGTTCAGTTGTGGTATACAGAATTTTATGAGCAGTAAAATACTCGTATTATTTTTAAATTATTATTTATGAGTTTATTGAAGTCCGCCGACCAAACTTCACACCTGCTGATGCGGCGAATACACACGTTCCCCTCTGTCATCTCCATGGCATACACCGTGTACTGGGATATCGTCTGATTAATTTAAAGAATCTCCATAATATTATCTCTATCTCCTTCACGTCCATATCATCGTTATTAGGGGAAACGAAAGATGTAGAATTTTTATTCTCTTTCTTAAATTTTAATAATCTCATCTTATAAATCTGATGTTTTACTTCATGAACTATCCCGACATAATATAATGCACTGTTTTCTTACTTTTATCAAAAGCCAATCTCCGTTCTGATGCTCTGATCTTCCAAGATTCTTTTGCAATGCCAATTCAATATGGCCCCTTTCTATTTCATCAAACAATCGATGTCATAGGAACAGACACTCATATTTAGAAGTAGATCAATATCAAAATGTATATTATTGTTTATAACTTCATCAATAATTTCATTTGTATTCTCTCTGCGTCTTCCTGTTCCGTACCTACCCGCTTTTCCTTTTTTTTTTGTTCTCTTTTTTCCTTAACACTTCTTCAGACGTTATAACTGATGCTCCACTAGTTACTTTTCTTTTGATGACTTTTGGCTTTCAACCTGTTTCATAGAAGATACTAAAAGTTCTTCAAATTATGTGCAACTAGGAGTGGATGAAAAACTACTCAATTTTTGATTTTCTGATTGCCCTTGTCTCTCAAATGCCGTATTTACAAAAATTAATTTTATATCATTATAATGAACTTAAAGATAGTGAACACTATATGATAACATCAGGATGTATTCATGTATCTATTGATATTGAAGTACTTTTAAATGTTTAATCAAAACTAAGAACCTAAGAGTTAAGAAGATCCTAACTTTTTTTTTTGTGTTACACGTTGTTGAAACAGCAATCATTGAATAATAAGAAAAAAAATATATCAAGCTATAGCTTAGTATCATATGTTTGTAGGGTTTGTATAAAATGTAAAGAAACTTTTACTTTGTCTTATGTATACTACACATTTTTAGTATAGCAAAGTATGCGAAGTGTTATGATATATACAACATACAACTTAAATAAGCAGAGCACAGTGAAATAATGTAACTCTACGTTTGATAAATAACAAAATATCTGGTAAATAAAATATACTAAACCTATTAGCCATTGAATGTGGATGTGTTTGTAGATGGATTCCACGACAGTTCATCGCGCATCAATTTATCGCGCGAAATATTATCATCGACGTTTTATCTCATGCTTGTTAATCGTGCAGTATTTTATCGCGACTATTTCTTCGAGGTTAACCTTATCATTACATCGCTCGTTTAAGTTCATCGTGCATCACTTTATCGCGTTAATCGTCGTCATTGTATGTACTATGTTGCAGAGGTGGTTTGAAATTTTTCAGTCGGTGGTTCAAGAATAGTTAAAACCACCCACCCACCCACCAAAAAGTCACACTGCAAAACCTTACTTAATTTTATCATTTTTTTTTTTTTCTATTATTATCTATACTAAAATTTGCTAATTTTGATAGTTGATATATTAAGTACCGAATTCTAAATAACCAAGTAAACAACTTGATATTACAAATCTAAAGATATAAGATATCTTTAATAAGTAGGTAGGTATACACTTAACATTTTTTTTCTTATTAAAACAATTTTAATACAATGAATGGAAGTCAATATACATCATTTTTTAAGTGTTAACAATACATTGTGCAAAACACTAAAAGTTGAAGCAAATTTATTAATAGCAAATTCAATTGATACTTCTATATCAGGGTTACAAGAAATTAACATTAAATTATCCAACCTTTTTTCTCCAACAGTAGAGCGTAATTTTGTTTTAATGAGTTTAAGCTTGGAAAAACATCGTTCTACAGTTGCTGATGTTAGTGACAAAGTACAAATCCCTTTATAAGCCATGAATAAATTTGGAAAAGCTGACACCATTCCCATTTTACACACTGCTGAGTATATGGCAGTAACATGTATTGTTTCTTCGGAATCATCACTGTCTGTATCATTTTGATCACTTAAATCATTTGTATTAATTGTATGTTTAGAATGTTTAGATTGCATTTTTATGTCATTTGCTGTAGCACTATTCATAAAGTTTTTATAATTAGAAGCAAATAATTCATATTCTGCATTCAAACGATTTTTGTTAATTCTATCTGCAGACAACCAGTTTACCAAATAATCAAATTTATTTGGGGAGACTTTGTTTAACTCTAAGCATTCAGGTAGTAGTAATAAAATTCTTTGAAGATATTTTCAGAACCACTAAATCTATCATCTAGTTTAGATAAAATTACATCCAATGAACATTTATAAACTTCACATACATAGCGGTAATTTGCTGAAGTTATTCTTTCGTCATTACTTATTTCTCCACTCATTTTTTTCTTGCGAGATGTACGCACCTCTGCTAAATCATGTTCCTCTAAGTCTTGTGCATCACAAAATAATTTTGTTTCTGTAAATAGGTTCTCATATACAGGTTCAGTTTTCATTGCTCTTTTAAATCTTGTATTTGTTGTCGAGTCAATTTAATTAAATGTATTGCTTGAATGAAATCGATGGCAGGATTTTGTAAATAATTTGATAAAGGTGTAGTAATTGAGAATATATTGCGCATCATATGCATTGTAAGAACAAATTTAAAATAATTAAGTTGCTTTAAAAAACTATTAGCTAAATATCTGTTTTTTTCGTCAGTTTCTTCAAAGGCTAATTTTTTTTAATGTTTATATAATTGATTTATAAGTAATTTTTATAACTTCTAAAGAACGGTCATAGTATGTCCATCTCGTAGCAGAAAAACTTTTTAACCTACGAATACGATGGTTTTTATATAATTGTTTTTGAAACTCTACATATGTTGTGGTTCTCTTTCTGGCACCTAAAAATGTTACCAAACAACTAATTGTACCAAAAAAGTCTTGCGCACATTCAGTTGCTTCACAACAATCAACAACTGCTAAATTTAAGCAATGTGCACTACACCTTACATGTAGTGCACTTTTATTTTCATTTTGTAATAATGAGCTTAATCCTTTTACAGCTCCTTGCATATTAGATGCCCCATCATAAGCTTGTCCAATCAGATCATGCCTCCAATTTAAGTTATATTTGTCACATACTTTACAAAATAACTCATACATTCCATTTCCAGTTGAATCTACTGTTTCATCAACACAAATTAATCGCCCTTTAATGAGCCCATCGTTTGTACAATATCTCAATACAAAAGCAAATTGGTCGAGCTTTGACACATCAGTTGTAGAGTCCAGTATAAGTGAATACATTCCAGCCACTTTTACTTCCTTTAAAATTGTTTCACGGATCGATTCAGCAATACAGTTGAGCATAGAATTTTGTGATGATTTAGATAGAAATGTCAATCTTTGTTTTTTGCTGATGATTTAATATTTTCCAAGTGTGTAGCTAAAATTGTTTGATGTTTGGCAAAAACGTTAACCCAATCTAGAAATTTTCCAATTGTAACATTAGTTAAATACTCAGTATGGCCTCTGAATGCATCATTATGTTTGGATAAACATAACACTATATCCATTAATACATGCACAATTGCTCTATTCATTGCAACATGCTTATTATTAGAATTCATTAACTGAATATCAACACGATTATTATTTATGTACATTATTTTATTGAATTCAGCTTCTAAGTGATCTTTACAAGTTTCATGTAAATGAATTCGACCATATAAACCACCTAAATGTCCCTGTGAATTGCAACCTGTAGTGACAAAAGCGATTTTTTGAGCTCAGAACCAAACAGTTTGCATGTCCAGCAATAAATTCCATTCATTGCAGGCGAGTATGTAATCCACGATCGATGTTCAGACTTTCTATTAACCAACTTTGTATAATGTGATGTTGAAAACGAACGTGGTGGATTTGATTCATCTTAAGGAAATTTACCATTGGGTAAATCGGTAGCAACTGGTTGGCATGGACCCATTTCTAATTGAATTAACTTTAATCCAGGTGTGATTGATTTATTCATAAATAAAACTAGATCATTTTTAAACATTGGCGAAGCTGATTGTAAATTATTAACAGATTCATAGATATCAGGAGACTCAACATCTAAAATTGTACAATATTATTAGTTAGGTATCATAATAGTTGTATATAGTTTAGTTTCACTAAGCTCTTTCAATATCCACAAAATTGAATTTATATATTTTTATTAAACTAACTGTCTGACTATTATAATTTAAAATGTTGGTTAATTCTTAAAAATTGTATAAATACATGTACATACCTGCTGTATCATTGGAAGTATTTAAAACAATCGATACGTTTGATTTATCTTCATCTCCAATAACTACATCAATTTTCGAATGTTCAGTTTTCTCAAAGCTACTTGCATCTATTTCTAATATATTTAAGTTTATTAGATAAAATCCAAATCATTAAATAAATAAATGATATTGATGATATTCAAAAATGAACAAACAGATTATAACAACTCAATAACAACTAATATTTTTTATATAACAATTCAATACACAAAACAGTATATAAATCTAATACCATTTTAACTGCATAGACTACTAATACTTATGTATAAAAAGACTTGGATTTTATTCTAAATAATAATGAAAATATCTTGATAATATTTCTTCAGATCCTACTTTAATTCATATGGTACGCAAAACAAATTAGTAATTTTATCATACATTTTGTTACAGTTAAACCAAAAAAAAAGTAAATATCTAAAATTGTATAAGATTAGCTCAAAGATTAGGTATTAGTTATAAATGTCATCTTTATAGTCTTCTATGGTTTAATTACTCAAAATTTTATCAATATCCATAA